TTAGGGAGGATTGTAAAAGTTTCTATAGCGAAAAGTAAAGGTATTTTCAGTAACATTTTTACAAACAAAATTCCGAGGGATTTTCGCTGACGTTACAAGCCCGATTTTCAGAGATGTGATTATGTCAAGATTAATGAGCAGTCTAACTTTTCGGAACTGTCATCTGGAATGAATCGGAGTGTTACGGATTGAAACTTGGAACCTAAATTATTACTCGTTTATTTGTGTGGTAGCAAACGAAGGTTTGATTAATAATTATGGTGATTTCTAATGGATTTGCTCGAAAGAAGGTGTATTGATTTATGAAGCGTAGATCAGTCAAATGCCGGTCTTGAACTCACCAGGCCCTCAAAATATGTTTGACAGATATCCCCATTTAGGATAGTTGTTCCCATAACAGTTATTGGTACGTTGAAAACACAAACTCAATTCTACATTAAATATTTTTGACTTCCATTGTGAGAAGGTAATAGTGCAAATTTTTCGTATATTCATTCTCATACACTAACGAAATTTTAATATGATGTTAGGTTAGGTTAGGTCCAAAGTGAGAGGGTCTATTCGACCCTTCACCGCAACCCGCAAGAGTTTATTGTGACTCACATATATTCACACTCGACAAAATAAACAAAGGCACAAAGTATATGTTTATCTGTTTCATTTTTCCAAACACAGGCGACACACACTATATTCCGACAGTCCGAGTCTCTGTATACGATGATTCAAATGACAGTGACCTGTTAGACATCGTAGTTCATCCCAACTGTAGTCCAACAACTGTTTAGTATCAAGCTACGTAGGTGTGAGCCAATCCTGGAAGATTCTGCCAGAAGTCCATAAATCTTCTTGCCATCCAGGTGTTCGATCATTATTTGGCAAAGCCTAAAGCGATGCTGATGTCAGGTTCAGGTCCGATGAAGCTGCTGGCAGCACCCTCCTTTGCAAGGGAGTCAGCAGCTTCATTGGTTTCCAAGCCAGTATGGCCCGGAATCCAGACCAGAGACAATCTGTTACGTCTTCCTATCGAGGAGAATCGTTTTTGGCAAATTGTTATCAATTTAGACGTTGGTCGGTAGGAGCCAAGAGCTTTCAACGCCGCTTGACTGTCTGAGAATAATTTCATTGACTTGTGTATGAGGTTGGATTCTTCCAATTTACCCTCACTCAGGTCAATAGCGTGAATTTCCGCTTAAAATATAGTCGCAAAGGTTCCTAGGCAGGTTGATATCTCTGTTCTTAGTTTGAGACAGAAAACACCTGCACCAGAACCGGAAGGTGTTTTGTGTTTTAGATCCATCTGTGAACCAAAAACTATCTGCTCTTAGTATTTCCTTCTCCCGGAGAATCCAGTTATCTCTACTCGGGAACAGAACGTTATAAGGCAGTTCGTTACAATTTTTGTTAATTATTTGCCGCTTCAATTCCTGGTAACATAAGAGTTAAAATGAACATTGTCTTTATCCAAATATAGAAGGTACTTTTCGAATGAAATAATTGAATGTTGATGACATGTGCGTAGTATGGCAAGGTGGAGAATTTACATCGTTGAAGGAACTAGACATCATCAACAATGATCTTCAACGGAATGGCTACTACAAAGCGATGGTAGAAAAGATTTCGGCTAAAAGACAGCAGGGGCCTAGCAAGGAGGAGAAGACGTCACAACCAGTGCTTGCACTTCCCTACATCAGAGGATTATCGGTGAGGATACGCAGAATTGGTTCCAAGCACAAATCAGAACCTGCTTCAGATTCGGGAACACTATCTGTAGCAACCTCACAAAACCCAGGCCGCCAAACGCGGACTGCGATACCAAGAATTGCATTTACCGGATACCCTGTGAGTGCGGAAAATCCTATATTGGTGAAACTAAGAGGCCATTGAATGTTCTGATTTCAAATCATTTTATATATTAGACAATGGAAGTCCGAACTAGTGAAATTCATCATGAAACATTGTCAATCACCTTCAAACAAACCAAAACTCTAATTTAAAATGGAACGAGCAACCCAAAGGACTCTAGCCTTCCTGGATATTTTTGTGAATAGACGTGAAGATGGTACATTGGGCCTCAGAGTGTACCGGAAACCAACACACATAGACAGGTATAGTCGAAGTAAACGATATTGTGAATATTTAAAGTTAACGGAATTCTCAAAGGCCAAAAAAACTAATACATAGAAATGAACCGGCTGCAAAATAGTCCACGGGGACTGCAGAATTGGCGGTTCGTATTCGATAATTGAGTTTTATTATTGGCTAAATAGTCATAAAATTAAATTTAAAGTCATGTTACGGTGATGAATATAAATCGAGGAATGCGGGGATGGTTATCGCCGTCATGTTCAGTTTCGGAACTGATCGCGATTTGAGTATTGAAATTCGAAACTGGTGCAGTTATAATTACTTAAAATTTTTGTTAACTGTTCAAAACGTGGCGGTTTGAACAAGTACTAATAGTAATAACGAGTGTGATAACAACGAACACTTTCTCTAGTGTAGTGATTCCAATAGCGAACAATGCGAAAACAGTGAACAATGCGAAAAAGCGATAACAGTGAATAAGTTTCGGATGCATTTGAATATTGAAACACAGAGAGTATGTTTCGATGTATATAAAAATCTACATCTCAAGTTTGGTTTCAAGGGAAACAAACTATTACAAGCAACATCAGATTCGATAGAAATTCCTTTCTGACCTGTATGTAAAATGATCAAAAACAAACCTTAGGAACACAAGACGCGATGTGATACAGGAGTTTAACAAAAACATCAGATGTTCACCTATGAAAATCATTGAAAAATACAATTTACAACTATTACAACTGAAATCATAAGGAAGAAATTAAATATTTCCGGTCATAACGTGAGCTGCTGTGTCAAAACTCTTCAGTATTGGATTGGATTCAGATTGAAAATAATAAACAAACGCCAAGCAATTATGGAAAGCAGAAGAATAGTGGAATTGCGTAACAAATACTTAGAACAAATAACTGAATATAGACAAGAACAACGGTAAATTTTCTATTTGGACGAAACTTGGTATGACACTCACGACACAGTTACGAAAGGGTGGACTGATGGTTCGAGAATGTGTACGCTTAACATGCCTGCAAACAATGGATCGCGACTAATCATTGTGCATTGTAAAGGATGGGTTCCGATTTCTTTGAAATCATGTGGAAAAAACTTGAGGACTGCAATGCTGACTGTAATAAGAACATGGAAGTTAATATTTTCGAGAAATGGTATGAAAACACTTTGATCCCAAATTTGGATGTGAATAGTGTATTAGTTCTTGACAACGCTTCCTATCATCTGCGACAGCTCATCAAAGTACCGAATAAAAATTCGAGGAAAGATGAAATACAAAGTAATTTAATGGATATTAGTTTGTATAATGAAGATTACTATACCAAAAACCAGTACTTGAAGTTTTACAGACAAAAGCATTTGAAAAAGTTTATGCTCTTGAGAGTATTTCTGAAGAGTATGGACACACCATACTGAGACTTCTTCCCAATTTTTGTGTTTTCAATCCCATCATTGGTTTGGGGAAAACTGAAACAAAGCATCAAGCGTTAAAATAATTTTCCAGAATTTGATAGGAACGTAATAGAGCTAATCAAAGAAGAGGTATCTAAAATTACCGAAGAAGACTGGCAGAAAAGGATTAAAAAAGTAATTTCAGTTGAGGAAGACTATATCCATATTAATGGTAGAAATGAATTCATTATTGATTTAAATGACGACAGTGATAGTGAAACAGATATTATGAGAGAGGAATTGTCAGAAGCTTTCAAAGAAAGTTAGTAGAGTGTTTTTGAAGGAATCGATTGTATACGTATATATGTGGGTGAGTAGTATTCAGAAGTGTTTTCAATTATCACCCTGTTAATTGGATCCCTACTTTCCCACTCACCTATATGAACGAAATATTTATTATATAAATCGGTTTGATTCGTGAGGTTGCAGTCAATAGCTGGGACACACCTTCGTCAGGACAACTACAATAATAAGATTATATATCTTGTAAAAAATATATAAATATAGAGAACTTACTAACGTGAGAATAAAATATAAAATGGTTCAAAAACAGATAGAAAAACATTAAATAATGACAGTTGATAAAAATTTGGCTGTGGGAAAATTCTAAATGATACTCGAATTACTAGATCTTTTATTTTCTTTATCATATTTCAGTAGGTACGTGTAAATTTTGCTAAGACTATCAATATGGATTGCTCTAAAACATATATAGGACAAACATCTAGACCTCTAAGTAGTCGTATCACTTCCCATAAGAGCGACTGTAGACGAAATGTTAATTTTTGTGCATTAACAGAACATGTTAATTCGGAGGATCATAAAATGAATTTTGAAAATCCAAATATTTNGATTTTTTTTCTTGGTGTCATCGGCATCGATTGGTCATTAACCTCGTGTCCTGGGTAGGCAATGTTAATAACTCCCCGAGCCACATAGGGAACATCATGGCTATTCGCAGTCCGTTAGCCATGTAACGGACGATTATGAAAAAAATATAAGTCCTAAATTTTCGAGTGTGTTATTATGGCTGTAAAGTTCAGAGAAATAGAATTGTCACATTTCTATTGAAAAAAAGCTCATGATTGAAAAAAATGATCAACTCAGCTATCTTTCACACAAGTATATGAAATATGATATTCAAAGATTTTTCATTCATTTGAATTGAAAGGTGAGGACATATTATTTTTTGGAAAAAAAGAGTTTTTGGCTTCCTACTTTTCCATGTTTATACAAAAAATATAAGTTATGGGAAATGAAATTGCTCAGAAGATTGACAAAATATTTTGTAACAAAAATAATAAATGAAATCGGAATTTAATGAAATTCAAAATTAAGAAAATAATTACTGAGCCAGTAATTTCATTCCTTTTATGAAGGATGAAATGAAAAAAATTCAATCCTCAGCACTGACTAAAATTTTAAAATTGAACACAAATCCAAAATAAACAAAACTAACCAGTATGTATCCTGATATGTCCTTTCAGCTGTCCGTTATTGGAAAATCCAACATCACAATGTGGACATTTGTATTTCTTAGGCCTCTGCTTTTTCGCTGCTAAAACTTTCGCATGGTGTTCCTGATTCAATACTCTTGCGTACTCCTCCAAAGCGATACCTTGAGCCATCGATTCCATAAGAAGAGGATCAGTTGCAGCGAGACCAAGCGATTGAGCTAGGCTGGTCTGGATAATATCTGGATATAAGTTGGAGTAAAGATCCGCGGAATATTCTAGAGGAAAGTGGGATGGAATGTGGATGTCAGGTTTGTTTGTAGGTGGCTGTGAAATACTCTGCAACGGTCTAAAGCCCGCTTTGATATCGATTCGTTCGGGATTGTTTTCATTGACACATTCGGGCCGTGAAGACTCTTCAGTTGTTGTGGTTGAAACTGTACTATCCTGGGAACTGTCATGCGATTCACCAGCACAATCCCAAGGTCTGAATATTCTGCCACACTTATTCTCCACAGATTTCTCATCAAATTGATACCTACTATTTATATACATTTTTTTTTAAATATCGACACACTCCACTTCAACTTGTTTGACTAAGTGACCCCAAATAAACATCAGTAGTATATACCCTTCTAGTTTTCAAAAGGGGCTGTCCTTAACATGAAGTGGGGATTGCAACAATAACTACCCTCTTTTGTATTTTCGTATTCAATGAATGAAATTGATATTCTGCCGGAATATCGCCCTTACCGTCAATGGCATTGTCATAGGGCGGTTTGAGGGTAGGTTTGCCGCTATAAGGGGATTCGTGTTATATTTTGTAAGTGTTCCCGTTTTTCACGGTTGTCTTTTTAATGCGAGGTATTTGCGGTCGGATTACAACTAAATCTACTTGACAATCGAAATGGTATTCCAGGTAAATAAAGTGTAATCCTATTCAAAGCAATTTGAATACAATTTTCGTGAATCTACGAATGGAATTTACTTCACGGCTTGTTTGTAATTTGCTTTATTGAGACGGAGAGCAACTACTCTGTTCTAGAATATAACTAGTTTCTTAATATTTTGTTATAAGTGTTAATTTGATTTGATGATTCACTACTGGAATAAAACTGTCAGAGAGGGTTATAATGTACTTTATTATTTTCAATTAAAATGATGGAATATAGTGAAACAGACCGGATCGTTTCTAGAAAACGCACGTTTCACAATCTGAAATAGATACAAATATCAGTTTTTCTGTTGTCTCAGAATTTAACCTATGGTATGGTGTTATGTAGTTAAGGTAGTGATTTGTTGCATTTTTCAATTTTTTTCAGTTATAGGAGTGATGAAAATTATAACTTCCATATCAAACTCTAAAGAAATATTTGGTAAAGTCAATCTGAGTCGATTTTCAAATTGAAAAACTGGATTTGAAAACGAGAAAAATGACTACGAAATTTCCTTTTATCAGTGATGATATGATATATTATCATTTTGAAAATTCTCGTAACTGAAAAAGTAATAAAAGTTAATGTCACGGTAGTACAAGAATCTCAAAAATTTATTTTGTTTAGGGATTTCAAATCATTTTATATAGTAGACGATGGAAGTCCGAACTACTGAAATTCATCATGAAACATTGTCAATTACCTTCAAACAAACCAAAAATCTGATTTAAAATGGAACGAGAAACTCAAAGGACTCTAGCCTTTCTGGATATTCTTGTGAATAGACGTGAAGATGGTACGTTGGGCCTCAGAGTGTACCGGAAACCAACACACATAGACAGTTATAGTCGAAGTAAACGATATTGAGAACATTTAAAGTTGGCACTCAAAGGCCAAAAAGCTAATACATAAAAATGAACCGGCTGTGAAATAGTCCAAGTGGACTGCAGAATCGGCGATTCGTATTGGATAATTTGTACTAACCGAGTCTTATGATTGGCTGAAGAGTCATAAATTTGAGTTTAAAGTCATGTTGCGGTGACGAATAGAAATCGGGGTATGCGGGGATGGTTAAAGCCATCGTGTTCAGTTCAGGAACTGATCGCGATTTGAGTGTTGTAATTCGATACTGGTGCAGTTATAATTACTTAAAATTTTTGTTATCTGTTCAGAATTGAACAAGTACTAATAGTAATAACGAGTGTGATAACAACGAACACTTTCTCTAGTGTAGTGATTCCAATAGCGAACAATGCGAAAAAGAAATAACAGTGAATAAGTTTCGGATGCATTTGAATATTAAAACACAGGAAGTATGTTTCGATGTACATAAAAAACTACATCTCAACTTTGGTTTCAAGGGAAACAAATTATTACAAGCAACATCAGATTCGATCGAAATTCCTTTCTCACCTGTATGTAAAATAATCAAAAACAAACCTTAGGAACGCAAGACGCGATGTGATACAGGAGTCTAACAAAAACATTAGATGTTCATCTATGAATATCATTGAAAAATACAATATACAACTATTACAAAAGCAATGAGATTCCTACAAATGAAATCATAAGGAAGAAATTTAATATTTCCGGCCCTAACGTGAGCTGCTGTGACAAAACTCTTCAATATTGAATTGGATTCAGATTGAAAATAATAAACAAACGTCAAGCAGTTATGGAAAGCAGAAGAATAGTGGAATTGCGTAACAAATACTCAGAACAAATAACTGAATATAGACAAGAACAAAGGCAAATTTTCTACTTGGACGAAACTTGGTATGACACTCACGACACAGTTATGAAAGGGTGGCCTGATGGTTCGAGAATGTGTACGCTTAACATGCCTGCAAACAAAGGATCGCGACCAATCATTGTTCAATGCACAATGATTGCGGAGGAAGTAAAGGATGAGTTCCGAATTCTTTGAAATCATATGGAAAAAAACTTGAGGTCTGCAATGTTGACTAACATAAGAACATGGAAGTTCATATTTTTCGAAATGGTTTGAAAACACATTGATCCCAAATTTGGATGCGAATAGTGTAATAGTTCTTGACAACGCTTTCTATCATTCGCGACAGCTTATCAGAGTACCGGATAAAAATTCGAGGAAAGATGAAATACAAAGTTATTTAATGGATATCAGTTTGTTTAATGAAGATTACTATACCAAAAACCAAGTACTTGAAGTTTTACAGACAAAAGCATTTGAAAAAGTGTATGCTCTTGAGAGTATTGCTGAAGAGTATGGACACACCATACTGAGATTTCCTCCCAATTTTTGTGTTTTCAATCCCATCGAGTTGATTTGGGGAAAACTGAAACAAAGCATCAGGCGTAAAACTAATTTTCCAAAACTTGATAAGGAGTTAATAGAGCTAATTAAAGAGGAATTATCTAATATTACCGAAGAAGTAAGTTTATTTGAAATAGACTATATGGAGATTGGGCACTTCCAACCTAACCTATTATTGATTTAAATGACAACAGTGACAGTGAAACAGAGCATATGAAAAAGGAATTATCAGAAGCTTTCGAAAAAAGTTAGCGAAGGGTACTCTTGACTGACTAGTTAAGAAGAAACACGAAATATTGTTGGGGATGCAGTCAAAGTACTGGGCTGTTGTTTAATGAATACTCTTTGTTATATGGTCGAGCTTTCGAGAATGTTTATTCCCTTCATCAAGACATCTACAAGAAATTAAGAACATTGCAGCAAAATTGTAGGTGAAAAATGTACTTACTAACTTGAGGTTATAGTAAAAAGTCAGACTTTGCAATGAGAAAAACAAAGTTAATACTTTTCATCATGTAGAAAACTGTCACATATTGAATATTAGAGTTTCAGAGAAAAAGTACAATGAACTAATTTAATTTAAACATTTAAAAAATTTTGAAATTTTAAAATTATTTCACTGGCGATGCTTGGCACTTACTAGTGGCGTGGTAGCAACTATAAAGCGAGAGGAAACAGGAAATATTCGAAATTTAATAATTGACATTCTATACAGACATTTGAAGTTTGAAAATTTGACAGTAAAAAACAAAACAGGATTACCAAAAGGCACACCAACACCATGGTTGACAC